ATAGCGTTGAAGTTTGGAGATTGGTTTTGTCGGGTTTACATCCGCAATCCAACATGTTTACAACTTGGGCGGAGCTCTTATCATGGATCAGAAACACTTCTACCAGGGCCCCTACTCTCCTTCGAAATTTAGTGGCTCAAGCAACCGTCTTCCACCTCTGGAAGCAGCGTAATAATGTGCTTCATAACCTAACCTCAAATCCGGCGAGCATCATTTACAAAGGCATCTATCGGGAGGTTATCAACTCTATATCGGCGAGAAGGCACGGAAGGAATTTTAACAATCTCATGTCTCTTTGGCTTAGATGATCATGTCATCCTCTTCCAAAACCATAATATACTAACTTGTTTTTTCCCTTTTTTTGGCAAGATAGTATAGAAATTAGATTAACGTATTGTAAAATCTAAACTTTCATTCTATAATGATATTTATCTTTTATAAAAAAAAATATTAGCTAATCAAAATAATCTAATGTACTGCTAAACAAAACATATAAAATTGATTTTCTAGAGGTAAAACTGTAGGTACCGACACTTATGTCTTAACGAAATAAAATATATGTATTATTCTGCGTTGTGAGCATGGAGTCTCATAAACTCCTAACCAACCGCAACCATTTTAAGCATTAGAAGAGTGTATGCCACGAAATTTGAAATTTAAGTGAATTTAAAGGTTAAGAGAGTATTTTTCTTAGCTAATTAATTATTGAGATAAGTAAAATCATTGCTATGTACTCACCTCAACAATTAATGATAGTTGTTTCAATCATTATTCTTTAGGGGCAACAAAAAAAAATATTGTAAAAAAGATCATGTAAGTAGTTTCTTTCAGAAGAGTTTTTTGAGATTGTATTCCAAAAGAACATTAAAATCACTTCACTGATCAATTTGCAATACAACAAAAAACGTTATAATTGACACAGTAATAATTTATTGTCAAAATTGTATCTACTTTTTCTATAGTTTTTGAGTTTTTGATGCATCTAAGAGTATCTAACATAAGTCCTAACTTCTAACTTTTCACAAATATGATATATATTCTTGTATTGTTTCCTTATGTGAGATTTTATTATATGCATATATATGTAGCTATATATTCTTTAGTGTTGTTCTCTTCATCGATGCTCTAACTTATTAGTAAATTATTGCTATACAATTTTTAATTTGCAATAAAATCTTCAAAAGAAGAACCCGCGCGTATGATAATTGAGATAAAGTATTTACGCGTTGTCTCATTCGCGCACACACACACACACATAATATAAAATAATAGTTATATTCACATGTTTCACGTTAAATTTATTTATCACTGTATTTGATTTTTCCGCTCTTGAATGCTACGGGCCTACGACAAACGGGACCATGCATCCAATAATACAGACTATAACATCAAATCTAAAGACACGAGTGGATAAGCTATTTATTTTTGTGGTTCCCAAGATAAGTTATTGCTAATAGGAGTATAAATTATTCACTTGCTTAATGAAATTAGAAAAATGAAATAGAAAGTGACATATAGACTATTAAACCATTTCCAATGGTTATCTTTGTTTTTTACTCTAAAACAATCTTTTAGTTGTGAAAATTGTTTGTTTCCTTTGTGGTTTGACAAAAAAAAAACAGTATAATTAACAAATGGGTCAATTTAGTATCCTTCCAAAAAACTATGGAGGGTAGTTTTGGTTGATAGATGGAAGGTGTATTTCGACAA